GGTTGTTCGCCATGATGCTCATCCCCCTGCTTGCTCTTGGGTTTGGTAAGAATGCACAGCGCCTTCTTTACTGACTTTGTCCTCTGTCATGATGCTTTTTGGCATTGCTTTTCCAATTGCTGTGGTTCATTTCCAGGGCTGAGTTATGGAGATGAGGTTCACCAGCTAGAACGCATCCAAACAGCCATGGAGACCCAAACAACCAGGATCTACTGCAATTACTCTCTGACAGACCCCACCGACTTTGAGTATCTGTTCTGGTACCAGCAGCTACAAGGGAGCCATCCAAGACTGATTCTCAATTGCTACAGAACTGGCAATGGTCAAGACTGCACACCAGGACAGCTAGACAACAGATTTACAGGAGACTTGAATACTTCAGCAAAGATCACTGCTGTCTCACTCTCAGGCACTCAGCTCTCTGACTCTGCTCTTTACTACTGCGCTCTGAAGCCCACAGTGAAGCTGATCTCAGTGTGCCTGCTGACACAAACCTGCCTCTGTGGGGAAATTCAACCCTGACTCCACCTGAGATAACTTGTCAGATCTGTAACCTACTTTACTCCGTGTTCTGCCTCTTGTTTTTATTTCCTGATCTTGAACCTGACCTTTGAAATATGGGTGGATTAGTAGTTTCTGCCTTTAAATTCATAAACCTACAGAGCAATTGGATGGAGAAGTATCAAGCTAAGAGATCAGAACATGTGGGTGTGTCCGTATAGGTCTCTCTGCCCTGCAATGGACTGGTCCATACTAAAATAAAATCATAAGGTCCATACTAAGAATAAATAGAGGTGTGCTTAGTCGGTGTGAGTCAACAGGAGTTGTGTTCTGTGGCTGGATGAACACTGAGACCGCACAGCTGCGGCACCATAGGTACCTGTACTATTGTCTCAAGCACTCCACTGACCAAGCCTAAGCACAGTAAAGTGACCACTAATTTACCCTCAGACAAGAAGGAATATTTATTCTTGAGACATTCTAAACCAAAAATGTCTGGATTAAGAGCATGCATTTCGAGAATGACCAGAACATACGATGCCACCTGTGATATTATCCACATTCAGGCTCGGTGTTCGCCAGCCACCTGCAGCGGGAGAGAATGCTGTTCTTTCAGTGCTGATCTACATCAGTGTTGTTACTGTTATTGCCATCTGTTGTTCTTGTGCGTTTGTGTTCAACATTTCTTCAATTTCGCTTCAAATTGCAGCCCCACCATAACTCTTATTGAATGCATAACTTACTTTTTTGAATGAAACCTTTTTAATTCAAGCTACATTCTCCTTAGAAACAAGCTGTCTGAAAATGGCACCCAACACCAAGACGTTTGTCGAGTAAATAAGGAAATGACGACAATACGTCAGTACTCATTGTTTTTATTGCAGGGGAGTTAGATCTGATAAACTGCTGCTGTTGTAGGTCCACAAATAGGTCTCTTCTGCCTGCTTGTTGTCTCCTGTTTCAGCACAAGGTCACAGAACCTGACTCTCCTCTGCTTGTGTCCGGTCCCTCAAGGGGAACCGGTCTATTTTTGTCTTCCTTCTGTAAAGGTTTAACTGCACTGAACATTTCACTTGCAGTGCAAGAAGTGTACAACTGTTAAAAAAATCCTGAAACACCGAGTGCAGCAGAGAGACGCAGACAGGACAAGCTGCGCCAGTACTGCAATCTGGAACGCCTGAGTGAAGAGGAATGGAGATGTGACAGGAGCAGGGGATTCTGGGTAGGTCACAGATGGGCAGTCGCGCGTGTGACAGGAAAAAGCCCACCCACCCCAGGAGCACTTAAAGCTGAACTGCTGATTGAAGAAGCGACATTTCTTATTTTACCTCGACCAGTGGCAGATTAAGTCTCCCAATGGAAAAGTACTTACTGATTTGCATTGTTTCGCTTTTCACACCAGGTAGTCTTTACATAGATGTAGATGTACGTAGATGCGCCTTCTGCTCATTAGTGCTATCATGGCGGTTATCGGTGTTTTGTTGCAGTACGATCTCGAGCACCTGTCCTGATGTTACAACACAATGTTTTTCTTTTTCAGCTGCTGTACGCTGTGACTCCATCTCTCCTCGGCAGCCAAAGGTCTCTGGGGAGGAAGAGGGATCAGTGTCTCTTCAATGTTCTTTCTCCACAAGCAGTGCTGGATATGCTCTGTACTGGTACCGTCAGTATCCTCACAGACCACTGCAATACATCCTGTTTAAAGAAGGTGGTACATGGAGTAGAGAGCACACTGCGGACTTCGCTAAAGACCGTTTCAGATCTGCTGTAACTGGGAGCTCCACCACCCTCACAATTTCCAAGCTCACCTTGAGTGACTCTGCGGTTTATTTCTGTGCTCTGAGAGCAGCACAGTGCAGAAGAGTCATGGAGAAGCTGTACAAAAACTCGGGGCTTTGTGCCAGGGACTCTTCCGAGATCAAAAGGAGCCTCTTGTGAGTTCTTGGCTCTTATCGAGCGTCAATCTCTCGTGAGGTTAGATGTCTGACTGTGACTCTCATGTGGGGAGAGAGAATACTTCTCTTACTGAGAAGGGGACCTGTGCACATGCAATCATTACTTTCCCACAATTTTGTTCAGAATATTTTTGTGCTGTTGGGTTGGAAAACAGTGAATCTCATTGATTTATTTTATTGCTCCTCATCCTTAGAGCACCTGGGGACCAGGTACAAGTCCACTGGCTGCTGGTCCCATTCCTCACATCTATAACCAGCACTACCGCTAGCCCCACACAGCCAGGGTGGGGGTGGAAAAGTTCCTACACAACTTTTCCTCAGTGGTTTTTAATGTGACCCCTAGGTGGCAGTACTAGATTAAAATCGTTCACCTGTAAGAAGCGTGGTGGTCTGAGACAGGTTCATGATTAACTTTCTGGGCTTTTTGAAGGAGAGGAGGACTGAAATCATTGAAAAGATTCTTTTTTTTTGGTTCCTGGTCATGGTCAAAGACCTGGTAGGTGAAGAAGGTCATGGCAGGCAGGTATGCTGGGCAGGATGAACTTGAAATGTGTGACAAATCTGGGCTCCGGCGCCACAATCTGCTCCTGTTCAAGAATCTCTCCGGGAATGGCTCTGCGAAGATTTCCACTTTGTCATTGGAATTGACAATTTGTGTCTGATGGGCCTATCTGGTAAAAAAAAGGAGGATAAGAACAGGGCTGTAGGTGTGGAACCAAAAATGTGTTAATGATGTTATATCTACATATTTAATACAGAAAGTACAGTATTCCCCCTTTTTTGTGAAATGCTGTTTTAATTGGAGTCTTTGAATTTCAGTTTGTGTAGTTGTCGATCTTTGTGTGTATTTTTCTCACATCTGAAGATTTGTCTTGTTACCATAATATCCAATGTGGTTAATGCTTTGTTTTCCAGGTGACTTTAGCTCTGATAATCCCAGGATTGTTTTCACAGAGGTCCAAACCCTCTCAGTGGCTCTTCTGTTTCACTGCGGATGGCTCATTAGAGGATTCCTTCATCCACCCACTTTCCACCCACTTTTTTCTGCTTCTTCCTACTCAGGGTCACGGAGGGGCTGGATCCTATCCCAGCGAGCAACGGGCACAAGGCAGGGTACACCCTTGACAAGGCAGAAACAAACACGCACACTCTCACACCAGGGCTGAGTTTCCCAGAAGCCATTCGATCTACCAGTATGTCTTTGGACTGGGTGAGGAAACCAGAGTACCCAGATGAAGGCAGAGCCTTGTGGACAAGGAGAGAGCATGCAAACTCCACTCAGATAGGACCACACATCTGGAATCAAACCTAGAGCTCCAACTCTGTGAGGCAGAAATGCTCAGAACTATGTCAACGTGACGCCCAAGTCTTAATCCTTGTTCACTCAAATATAACACAGGGAACAGCAGGTGACCCCTATCTGGCATAAAAGATCTAGCATGGTCTCTCTCTGGAATAAAGAACAAACCAAATCTTGAAAATAACTGTTTCAAAGGTCATGAAATACTGAATGAGTCTTTTCAGCTCAAAGGCCTAAGAATGCGAGGCTGCATCTCTACTGAAGAAACTTATCTGTTCACACTCTATGAACATCATTCCAGCCTGGACTCAGACCATTTCACAGCACAGAGACAGCCTGCACATGTGCTCAATGTTTCAGAACAAACAGCAGCTAAAGCTTCTGCTCTTTCTTGATTTTGACAAGTCTAGTCAACAGCTTTTCCGCAAGCAGAATTAAGATTATAGAAAACAACTCATCCCTGTGAAAAAGCTTGTTCCCCATTTCAAGAGGCATGAGGAATAAAAATGCAAGACCTTGAGGCTACTGCTGTACCATGGGCCTGTGACATTACAGGACATGATAGTGACTGAACTGAGGTGTAAGAGAAGGGGGTGGTGTAGGACTCTATATCAAATATAACCTGCTAACTAGACAACTGAAGACAGAAGGGAAAGACTGAGGTCAATGTGTTTAGCTGTGAAATGAAAATGGGTTAAGATGGTTATTGTCCACTTTCTGACCTAGTTTGTAAAGGTACAATATAGTGAAGATCATTTTTGCTAACTTAATCTTTTCAAGCAACCAGGAAATTCTCCAGGAATAACAGCAGGCAGAGACACTGGGAAACTGTAACCATAATATGCAATCACGTGGAGTATACTTAATATCTCTTAAAAACGTGAGCACAAAATCAGGGATAATAATTGTAGAAGAGTATAAAAGAATGAGTTTAAATGTGGTGAATCAAAGTCAATAGAAAAAGAATCACAAAATTGTATTTTATAGCTTAATCGTTCATTGGACATGTATCTCCTTACAACAGACACTATGAGTGCTGTTACAATGCCAAAGGTGTTCAGTTATTAGCAAACCAGTGACAAACAGCTACAGCAGACAGCCCAGAGTCAGACCAGCTGTTCTCATGAATCATAAGACAGTGAAGAGAGAGCTGGGCTTCTGATTGGCTAACAGTGAAGACCTGTGACAAAGACACTGTGGATGAACTAGGTCTGCCTGCATTCTCTAACAGGGCTCAGGCTCAGAAACACCTCCTCCTGCCTTCAGCAGTGACACTTTCACTCTTCAAATGGAAATTCTATTGGTGATTTGTATTACTTTAATTTTCTTACCAGGTACTCTTCACATATAATACATTAATCATTATTGTAATTATTTGCTGTTGAGCCTTGTAATACACTTAGAATTATTTATGTTCTTTTTCAGCTGCTGTACACTGTGACAGCATCTCTTCTCTGCAGACAAAGGTCTCCAAGGAGGAAGAGGGATCAGTGTCTCTTCAATGTTCTTTCTCCACAAGTAGTTCAGGATATGGTCTGTACTGGTACCGTCAGTATCCTCACACCCCACTGCAATTCATTCTGTTTAAAGAAGGTGGTACATGGAGTGGAGAGCACACTGAGGACTTCGCTAAAGACCGTTTCAGCTCTGCTGTAGATGGGAGCTCCACCACACTCACGATTACGAAGCTCAGCCTGAATGACTCAGCTGTTTATTTCTGTGCTCTGAGAGCAGCACAGTGTAGAAAAGTCATTGAGAAGCTGTACAAAAACTCTGGGCTTTGTGCCAGGGACTCTTCCGAGATCAAACGGAGCTTCTTGCGAGTTCTTGTCGAGTGTCAATCTGTCACATCACAGTGGGAGGTTAAGTGTTTGACTGTGACTCATGTGGGGAGAGAGAATTCTTCTGTCAGTGAAAAAAGGACCTGTGCCCGTGGAATCACTAAATTCCCACAATTTTGTTTACCATATTTCTTTGCTGTTGAGTTGGAAAATAGTGAATCTCATTGATTTCATTTATTGCTCCCCGTCATTAGAGCACCTGGGGACCAGGTACAAGTCCACTGGCTTCTACCGATTCCAGTTGATAGCATTTTTGTGCCTTTTGCCCTGTGTGTTTGTGCACAACAGGCACAGTGCTGTTCATCCCTATCCTCTTCATTGCACCTCCCCAGGTAAGCCGAATGAAAGCCATTTAGCATTTTTTAAATGGAGAATACTCTTAATGTATATCTCAAGAATGACGCACATACAATATACAGTAAAACCAATGCAATTGCAGATTGCATAACAGAGCTCATTTCCAGCAGCGTGTCCTGTAATTAAAGTTGCCTACTGTTCCTATCCTCAGAAGGAAGTCCAGGGACCCTAGTTACCCCCATCATCACTGTGTCTTAAGGGTGAGGGCTCAGTGTGCACCTCCCCATCTGTGGGCATGTACTACCCAAATTTCCTCCGGCTCTAAGTAAAGAAATATAAAATATCATCAGGGGAAACGCCCTCAGGGCCCAGTCATTTATTGATTTTCAGCCCTCCTAACTCTTAAAGGGTCAGTGGGATACATTTAACTAGGATTAATTAGGTGTCTTCTGCAATATGACATCAAACGTCATTTATTGTATATTCATTCAGCATTTTTAATGTGGTCTTATCAGTTTTTTTTTATTAATCCTTGGACCAGAAAGTACGTGACCTCCATCTTTTCCTGTTTCTTACTGCTGTACTACTCAAACAAATCCTTTACATTTTGTGCCTCAAACACAATATCCTTTCCTGTTTCTCTCTTGGCAGATCAAATACCTTTTTACAACTGTAAAAGCTGCCAGGGTGGGTGTGGAAATGTTCCAGCCAGAGGCTGTCCTTCACTGATCAGGTGTTTCCTTGCTGCGGTGCAGACAGCTGACGATTAGCAGGCTGCAGAACGGCACTGGAGACACACAGCCAGTTAGCTGGTTGTAAACTCAGCGGGACAAAACGCCAGACCAGCTCTGCGCCTCTGCCCTTGGTCATGGGAGAGTACATTGTGATGTGCATTATGTGCCTTATGTGTCCAGGTATGTATTGTATCCAGTTCAGCATTTCCATTGATATCATTAGTGTGTGAGACTGATTGAAGTACTTTTAATTCAGGAACATAAATGCCTTATCTGTCGTCCTGTTTCTCAGCCCTAGCTGCTGGCGACTCCATCTCTTCTCGACAGACAGAAGTCTTCAGTGAAGAAGGGGAGTCGGTGACACTAAGCTGTGGTTACTCTACAGATAAATCTGCTGCTATTCTCTACTGGTTCCGACAGAAACCACACAGCGGACTGGAATACATCCAGTACATAGGAGCCCGGGGCAACAGAGGTGCCAACCATGCTGCGTATTTCGCCCGAGTCCGTTTCGGCTCTTCTGCAGACACCGACTCCACCACTCTGAGGATTTCGGACCTCAGCCTGGATGACACAGCCGTTTATTACTGTGCTCTGAGGGCAGCACAGTGACTAAACGGATTGGGAGGCTTTACAAAAATCACCTGTGTTAGAAGCATTAAAAACAACCATTTCAAAGAGCAAAGCTTGTGGCACATCAGCCATGTGGTTAGATTATTGGCAGGTTGTGTGCTCTGTGAATCTATCAGGTGACTCAGTAGGTTTCCTTCTTCTAAGCGCCCAGACCTTTTTGTTTTCCCCCAATCTTCCAGCTGGCAATATCTTCTGCAGGGGAAACGGATGTGTGATATTAAACTCACGGCACTCTGCAAACTCACTACACCAAACTAGCTGTTTCTGATCAGATCAGGAGGGAAACAACTGATTCTTCTTGTTCCAACAACTGTGCAAAATAAAGGCTGTACAAAAACCTGTGTCAGAACTGACATTTATAGAAGGCAGCCTCTTTACCTGCATTCCTCATCAGGGACATGGGTCTGTGCCAGTAGCTGGAATATTGCAATGTATTGAAACTGAGGTTGACATTCAGCAGTGCCAGCAGCTTTTACAGACACCGACTTAAGCAGCTTCGTCTCCTAAAAAATGAGAAATGAAGCTCTTTAGAATCCAGCTTCAATTCCATCTTGGAGTCTACATGGAGAGACCAGAATATGTTCAGCTGTTGATTTACTGTATTCCAGGGTTATAAAGAGGAGCAGAGGTTAATAAATCACCTTAAGACCGTGAGATGCCCAGGCCCGGGGCCTACCTGGTGACATCAGGGCAGGTGAGGATCCCATTGGGGGTGTAAATGACACAGGTCCAACCTGCACACTTCCCCCGTCGCACAAATTCAAACAGCAAAGGCCAGGCACTGGGAACATGGAGTGATGAGATGACAGTAGCCCTTCTCGCCAACACAGAGAAACCCACAAACACGCGAACCGGAACAGAAGAGGAAGCCAAAGAAAATCCCAAAGGAAGACGCACTGAATATGGTGGAGCAGCTTTTCCTTAGTCGTGAAGGAAAGTGTTGCACCATCTCATATCAGAACGAGTCATGAAAGATCAATAAAAATGATGGCATCTTTATTTCATTAATGACCAAATTCTGCAAACTTTGTTTGTTTTTCTTCAAATACGTGCATGTACTCATTTGGCATCTTGGCCCCAGATTTGCTTTAAAGGGCGATATGAAATTAATCCATCATCTGTCCACCAGGTGGGGCTAAGCGACAAGATAAGCGAGGCGTTACCGCAGGCTTCTCTGTAACAGGGTGCAGTTGAATTTTTTTCAAGGCTCATTGTGCGGTGTGTACAGGACATTGCAGATGTATCGGTTAGGGAAAGCTTTAGTTTGTCATTTCCGATTTAAACTTGACTACATGGACCCTGGACAGGGCTGTTGAGGCTGATTTACTCTCAACACCTCTCAACCCAGTGGCTCTGAAACGCTGATCATGAGATAAAGGATACAGGATTACTAAGCACCACTCTATCACTACAGAGCACACAGTGACCATAATTATGGTAATACTAATGCTGGCATTGGCAACAGTGATGGTGAGTGAGTAAACACAGATCCCTGCCTGTCTGCGAGGGAGATCTCTGCCCAGCTGGGTCAGCCTGTAGGCGTCTCTGTAGAAACCGGGCTGAACCAGAAGGTACTGATAAACATGCGGCACTAGGGGTGGATCCACAACACGAGTGTGAAGAAAGGATGTTGAAACATGAGGGTGATTAGGGGTACTAAACCTGTGTGCCCTGTGATGGACTGGAGTGCTGTCTAGGGTAGTGCCAGCCACACAATTCTCATAATGCAGAAAAATGCTTGCCGACATTTCAGCAGTAGTATCCTTCGACGAAATGCTTTCTAAACTCGATCGTGTTCATCGTGTATCAGCAGGTAAACATGAATATAACGGGCAATGAAGGGATCTACTCCTTGCATACTGCCCTAGTATGATTTCACAGCAGCATCTCCACAAATGAACAGATGTCTAGTTACATTTCCTCCTGTCAGCCACATTTCCACATGGAAGAGCTGCTCACATCTCCACACTCCACCAGTCAGCACAACCACCACTCTCTTCAGTTTCCAGCAAAGCACCCGTCTTGAAGACAGTGGAGTAAAAGAAAATTATCATAAAGCAGGCCACAACCACAGAACACTCAGCAATATACTGAACTTCTCAGGAGAAATAAATCCAGTCACATCCAGCCAACTCATATTGATTAACAGTATAAACCCTTTCAATAACACACTTGTACAGTAGCAGTAGGGTCACATATAAACTAAACTTGTTTCCACGATACAGAATTAATGAACAAATGGTTTCAAAAGGCTCAAATTGAGTTTTCACCGTTCTTCCGTCTCAGCGTGGAGAGCTGTCAGCAATACCAAAGCAAACCTGAGCAGATTTAAGAAACTTCCTGCTGTCACGGTGAGGCGTCGCTTCACGTGAAAAACCGCAGCTGCAGTTTTCTTTAGAAGCACAGACGTCAGTGTGAGCCCAGGGAGTCCTGCTCCTACACCGGGCTGCTGGCGAGACCGCGGCGATATGGACAAACTCCTGCTCCTCATTACAGCTCTCTCGCTGCCTGCAGGTGACTTCACTCTTGCTGTTGCGTTTGCTATAGACGGCCACGGGAAAAGGCTCGCAGTTCTAATATTTCATGTTTCAGGGAGGCATAAATCCACGATGGAGTTGTATATATGCACACGAACAGGCAACCTCTTCGGCAGAAACAACTTGAAAAATAAACCAAAAGGCCTTGATTTCTGCCTTTATTGGCTGAAGACTAAACATGTTCTCGTTCATTCTGGCGATTAAGTGCATTGAAATTGTGTGTGTGTGTGTCCCCTGATGGACTGGCGTCCTTGTCCGGAGTCTATCCAGCCCTGTAATCCACTCTACAATTAATCATTTCATTTTAGAAGTCAGGTACTCAGGTTAAAGTCCAGAGGTGATCATCTCATTTCATCTTTACAAAGGATTTGGAATGACTTGGAATCGATAACTTTAAAGATCATTCAAACTCGACTGTTCTCCGCTTCCTCAGGTGCACGGAGTGGCCTGTCCGTCGCCCCAGAGCGGACAGAAGTCCACGGTGAAGCCGGAGGCTCGGCGAGGCTGGCGTGCTCTCACTCCGCGGAGAGCAGCAGTGCCTTGCTGCTGTGGTACAGGCAGCGCCCGCTGGCGTCCCCAGAACACATCCTCTATCAAGGTGTCGGCTCCTACAGGGACACGCAGTACGTGGAAGACTTTGCCGAGGGGAGATTTACTTCAGCCGCTGACAGCGCCTCCACCACATTACACATTTCCGACCTGACGCCGACAGACTCAGCCCTGTACTTCTGCGCTCTGAGGGACACGGTGGCAAAGCTCACCAGGGAGACCTACAAAAACACGCCGAGCTCCACACGCTACTCCAGCTGCGGTCGCTCTCCTGACGTCATCGCGCATCGGTCCAATCAGCGTGACCGCAGTCTCTCCGTACGGCAATCTGCGTCTGACATCAGTCCGATCATTCACAGAATTTTCTTCAAGCCATTGATTCGTTTTTTTGATACTAGAGGGTGCATTATGTATCAATACTCTCTTGTTTTGATGGAGCTACAGTAATTAAACCGTGTGGAGGAAAAAAGTGCCCAGTACTGCAATCAGCCTTGACGGTACTGGACTTGCCCCGGAGTGACTGGTATTGATGGCGGTAACGTGTAATTAATGTACTGAACTTCTGAGAAGACTTACTTCGCACGTAAAATTTGAGTTCATGGATTCAAAACACCACACCGGTTTTCCTAGAGCGAGCAAACAAACAGAGCCTTGATATTTATACCCACTTAGCTTTTAGAACTCAAACTGTGTGGTGGGCAAAGACCAGTTGTGAATGCGTTTTCTGTCCCTATTGTTATTTTTTTTTTTGCACAAATGATTCCGATAATTGCTCAGACCATAAAATCTGGCAACACTCAATTACAACAGGACCCGGCCAGTAATTTCCTCAGTAATGGTATACACTCGCAGCCACTGTAGTTACACGTTGATCATCCTAACTAGACGTCACCTTGTGCTTTCAGACGGGTCCCGCGCTCCGCCCAGTGTCGCGTAAAAAGCGGAGCTGCTTCTGTTCGGAAGCCCTGTCGCCTTAGTGTGCTACACTCCGTGACGAAGACGGACAGCAGAGGAGATATGGACACGAAGATCTTCACGGTCCTTATGCTTTTAATAAAAGGTAGTAGCGGTAGCTGCCGTAAAGATGACCAATGCAACATAATTCCACTTATCTGTTATCTGGCTTATAAGCACATTATTTATGAGTGAATTCTTACTGCATTAAGGCTTTTTAAATGCAGAAGGGTGAAGCAAACCAGCAACACTGATCTCTAAGCGTGATACGAATGGATTTATTCATACGGTTTTCCCCCCCAATAACCGTACTTCGCGTTTTATTTCTGCAGACAGCGGAGGAAGTGAAACTGTAACTCAGCCCCCCGAGGTAACCGCCGAAGAAGGGCAGACAGTGACGCTCCACTGCCGCTACACAGCGGACAGGAGCTATGGGAGTTACCTGCAGTGGTACAAGCAGGGTGTCAGCGGGGCCCCGCAGTTTTTGATACAGACCTACTCGTTTGACGAAAAGCCGACGGCGGCTGTAGGCAGGTTTTCTGCAAGCCTGGACGCGGGTAACCAGTCGACGGCGCTGACGGTGACGGGGCTGTCGCTGTCGGACGCGGCGACGGTGCTGTGCGCTCTGAGGCTGACACGGTGTTGAAGCCCCGCAGAGCCCCTGTACAAAAACCTCTCGCACCGCAGCACAGCTCCAGAAAGTCACAGTGCCCATTGCGTCCCTGTCAAGTGAAGATCACACGCGAGAGAAACACTCTGCGTCCGTTTCATTCCGCGCTTTTATTGTTTTTCCATTTCATCTGTAGTTTCCTATGAACTACACACACACTTGCAGATTCATTATTTTTAACTAATTGCAGGACTCAACCCGCTGCGCCCTTGGTCAACGGATAATGCTTGACCACCCCTACTAGGGCTAAAGGCCAAAGAACGATGGTCACTTGTGACACGCTCATTGAGCAGCTGGATTCAGGACATGAGACATCGTGACGGAACCCGAACCAGTAGTACTGGTGTCCGGGAACATCGGACTCTGGGCTCCGTGGTGTGAACTATTCCTTAGCTCAGCAGGTGTTGTTGCGCGATGGCTATGAATTGCCGTTTCGGAGGTCTAATGCAGAAAGAGCCGTCAGTCTCGCCACTGTGGAGACCGATTTTAAACTCTTACCATTCGGTTCTGTGTCCTGGACCTCCGATCCATTCCCCTGAATTTGGAAGTGGCGCTGTGCTGTTATTCAGCCTCGGGTGCTGTGTATTACGTTCTCCCTCCCTGAGTTAATGCGAGTTTTCCTCCCATCTTTCAGAGACAGGTAGGGTGGGATAGATTGCTTACTTTTATTAGGCTTTTCCCCAGGAGAGCTGGGTACTCTTGACCGCCTCAGCTGGGCTATTAAACAGATAGATGACATCTTCTGTTAATGACATGACATGGGAGAGCGCCGGGCTAGTCAGCTGGATCACGTGTCAATTCCTATTTTTACCTGAAACCATCAAAGTGCTTTTTACAGTCTTATTCTTAATTATTGCGTCTCTCACCATTACCACAATTATTGTCAATGGCTGTTATGGCTTTATCGCAACAGGAGAGGGCGACGTATCCCCACCAATAACTCCTGCGTTCAGAAAGTCAACGCCCTCATCGAGAACCAGGTTTTTGGTTCAGTCGAACACCAATTTAGAAGAATAAAAGGTCATAACTTTTGTTTTAAGACCATACAGCGCAAGCTGGCATACTTTAGGGGTGCTGAAACCTGAATTCAAAATTCAAAATTAATTTTATGCAATCGTTGTGTTATAGCGGAGGCAAAGGGGTTTATGTACTGTAGGCACAGGATCTACGCAGGTAGCTTTGACCTGTATTCCGTGGAATTAACAGAAGGGGGCGCTAGAGACCTTCTGCCCTGTTTAATTTGAGCGTCTAATGCGAGCTGCTCCATAGTTATACAGTATATGTGTCTATATATAGAGAGAGATGCGTTAAAGGCCGCTTAACGACTAGTAAAAAAACGATACTTTTAAGAATAACTTTCATACGAAAAGTTGCTAGTTTCTTCTAAATGTTCCAAATCCAGGTTGAAGTCGGCTATCCACGCTGAATGTCGCATTGAACGCCTTGCCTGCCTGCGGCGAGACCCTCACCAGCCCTCGCTTGACACTCACGTGTGAGTTCACGCCCACAGCGCCAGTGTCTTTCAGTCTGTTGCACCTCCGGGCTTCACGGGCGACACGAGAAAAATCGAATGGATCGAACAATACTGATCTTGTCGATGTTATTCTGTAAGTCTCCGAAGCGATCTTTCCAATTTGTCTCGCCTCTGCTAACCTTACTCGTAATCATACTGCTAGTAAAAGTATTTCTGCAGTTTTACAGATAGTTTTTTTTTTTAAATACGGTATTTTTACGGTTTCCTCGGGCGCTGTCATTCTACTCAAATGTTCAAATAAAAGCATTTCGCTCCGATTTTCGTATATTACTAAAACGCGTGTTAATACTTTTTTTTTCCCAGGGCGTGACGCCGAGCTGCAGGTCCTTCAGGAGGACAGTGCAATAGTGGCTGAAGGGAGTCCGGCAGAAATGCACTGCGCTAACAACATTACCAGCACCAACAGACCCGTGTTTTGGTACAAACAGCTCGCTCGTCAAGAGCCGAAGCTTTTAGTTGGAGGACTAACCCGGACTGAAAAGTACAAACATTTCGTTCTGACGATCGACGAGAAAGAGCGTTCCTCAACTCTCGGCACCAAGAGTGCGGAGGTCGAGGACAGCGGGGTGTATCTGTGTGCAATAAGTAGCACAGTGCAGACGACACAGCCAGCAGCCGTACAATAACAGTGCCTCGAGTCTCTAGGGGTGGCGTTTGTAGCGTCAGTATAGTCACAGGCATCGTGATCCGGCCACCAACAGGTTGGTACTGTACGCAAGTATTGAAATGTCAAATAAAACATCTCCTAAACCTATTCTGGGGCCTAGAAGACTGCTTTGTGTGTAGGTCTGTTTTTTTTTTTTTAATAGGATGTATAACGTATTGCATCCTATTATAAAATTAATGTGTATAATTGTATTATAGAAATTGTTCAGGCGGCCGTGGTGCAAAAGGTTAGCATGTCCGCCTTGCATCAGCGAGGCTCTGGGTTCCATTCTGAACCTGGGGTACTGTCTGCGGGGAGTCTGCATGGTGTGAGTGTGTGCCCTTCCGGCTGTCCTGTGATTGACGGCTGTCTTGTCCTGGGTGTATCCTGCCTTGCGCTTCGGTACTTACAGAAATAGTTTGGGGTTCCTCCCTCCCAGCAACGATGAGTTGGAAAGGGGATAGAAAATAGAACATGAAAATATTTAAAAAATAAATCACTTAAACCTTTAAAAACCTGCATATTTAATATATCTAAAACAGTGAAAGAAACTTGGAAACTAGGTAAAGATACAATGTTACCGTATTGACGCTGTTTTGCAGAACTAAAATTAGGATTTTAACTCATGTATTCTTCCACTAGGGGGCACTATCATCCCGAGTCTTATCTGCGCTGTTACCGAGTGTTGACTAGTATTACCAGATACTCGGGTTTTGAATGTAGCTCCTGTTCTCTCAGTCGGCCTCAGATTGGGGTGCTATTGGCAAATAGGCAACAGCAATACTGGTATCTTTTACCCTTCATCCAGGACCCCAAACCCCCCTCTATATTACAGTCAAGCGGCTCAGAGATGAAATGGCGGCCATGGCAGTGGCGATGTGCGAGATTGCTCCTGTCGCTCGTCCAGCGGCGGCGGCTGTCCTGCAGGTGCCCAGATCCCTGCCTGAGCTCCAGGTGGACGGTACAGACCACCTGCCGGGGTCCACCTCTCTCGGCTCCGAACGCGCCCGAATCCGATCTACCTGCATGGCCCCAGTTAGGTCCTCTGGGTTTGGCACCTGAGAAGGGGTTGTATGGTGCTCGGATACAACGCCTTGGCACACAGCCCATCCCCACAGCTGGAGCTCTGCCTGGCCGGATTAGTCCTCCCCGCTCAGACGAGCTTGATAAAGAGCGTGTGGTATCCGAGAGCACCCCTGTCCCATGGGCACCCCCTCCAGTGCCAGTTCTTCACCCCGTGCTGGAGAGATATTGGCTCTTCCAGACTGGCAATGCCCGATGTATAACCCGAGCCTGGAAGAAGGCCCCATGAACACGGGCAGGATTCTAAATGCTCACACCGCAGGAGTGGCACTAACAGGCAGGCTTGTCGGGGATAAAGACTTCCGCCTTTGGTCTGTATCCTGTAACCCCTCACTTCCATTGTAACCGCACTCAGTATTACACAGGCTCCAGAGAAAGCACTCGAACCCTTGCCGAGCTCTCGCACAACCCCCCACCCGTGCCAGGTCTCCCTCTCCACAGGGGCTTCGTGCCTCGTGAGGCCTGAGCACGTGAAAACCAGAACACGCTCGCACAGGAGTCCTTAACCAGCCGGACAGGACTTCCTCTAGAACACCTCCACATCAACTACCTGCGAGCTCCTTTACCAAACCGATGTGGCTCCCTCTTCCGTCAATTAAACCAATCTCCACCTCCTGTGCACCCCCACACAGACCGAGACCGGTCTCGTGTTGCAGGTCAGCCGCTGCGGTTACCTGCACTAGGGACGGAATTTACTGCAACTATTTGTGAAAACGCACATCAGTGCACCCCTTGGGGAAAATGAAATCTTTCAAAATAGGCTCCGTACGATTAATGAAAGGATCTTCTCGGTCATGTGACGCCGCGGGTCGCAATAGGTCGATTCAGGTGAGCTGCTACGTCACAGCTGCTCCATGAACACCCGCCCGA